ACTTGGATGTGACAACTAATTAAAAGAAGAGTCAATGAGCATATTTTATGGAGGAAGGACCCAAAACTTCATATGTTTGCGAGGCGATGCTCGTTAAAGCTCCAACAAGCATCCACCCAGTTCAAGCAGCATGTGGAAATTTTGAGAGATTGGCGCAGTAAGGATGGTCTTTTCCTTCATTTGGTGGATCCGCAGGAATTAACGAGGATCAACACAACTCAGCCAACCCCACACCAGAGTCAGAGTCATTGGCGAGTTGAAGCAGCATGGCGGATCAAAGGTTCGACTACTCAAAAACAACAGCGGAGAGCAGTTGGGAGCCAAGAGGCGCATTGCAGCTGGAGCGGAAGATTGAAGACTCAACAAAGGCGAAGAGTTGCAGTGTTCACAAAGGCTTCGACGAGGAAGTCGAAGGGATAAGTGGGGGAGAATGTCATGGACAAACTTTGAAACAGGATGTTTGATGTAATGCTTATATCTGTCCGTGTCTATTGGCATGTTCATGCCTTGTACAGCGTGTAGAGGGGCAGCCGAAGGCTTATAAGTCTCATTTTAGTTGGGTGGTGGCCTCTTTAGGCTTGTAAATAAAGGTTGTGTCATGTGGACACGTGCGAGAGCTTTTCGGTCTGTAATGGACCATTTTACCCTTTGTTGTGCCACTGTTCAGAGCTTGTAAAGTCTGTTTGTAATTTGCATTGTCTATGAAGTGTTTTTCGGAGATGTTTGCTTGTGGATCCCGATTGAGGCGTTCTCTCTAGCCCATTCTCTCTTTTGTTGGTCCTAAGGGACAATGGGAGGCTTCGGGGAGGCTGACCTTTGCGGACGGACACGCAAGGGTGCCGCACGACTTAGGCAAAACCAGCTAAGTCCGTGTCAGATCGGTGGCCAAACATTGTCAGTTTCAGTCCAAATTTTATGTGGAGAATCCTTGCAGCAAATTCTACAATCCTAACGGTGTTGATCTGCAGTTTACCCTCTCTAAGATACTTTCCTACGATATCCACTCTATGAGACCTAGAATTTTCTTTTGAGGAGATCCATCCTATATGATGAAGATATGCTATTGTTGAGCCAAGATCTATGTTCTTGATGTTATTCTGATCCTCTAGTTATTCTAGAGAAGATCTACTGTAAACCTATGATCATTATTATTGATAGTGGAAGTTTGAGGTGGACTACGGTCCCGTGGTTTTTCCCACGTTGGGTTTTCCACGTTAAAAAGATTTGGTCTCACTGTGTGATTGATTTTTTGCTCTATTGTTTATGCTGTGCTGGTTGATATTTTCATTTGGATTGGTTGATATTTTCATTTGGATATCAAGTTGGTATTTTGATGAGTAACCTATTTTGATACAAAAAGAGGGAAAGAATTATTCCGCTTTAACAGATTTTTTCCAACACTATCCTCCTCAGACAAAAACCGGATTGGGTATGCAACAGGGTGAAGAAATGATCTGTTACTTGCGGAAAACCTACATGCATGCTGCTACCAACCAGCCTTTGCTACTAAGGGCATATGGGCGAGGGCAAGTTTACTAAGCTCATATTACAGTGTTCTTTTTCTTACATGCACAGTAGTCCCTCTCTTTCTCGGTAGCTCTCTTAGTTCACATACATACCTTTCTATCTTTTGTGATTTCTCTCCTCTCTCTGTTCTTTGGGTTTAACTATTATTACGAAAAAAAGAAAGCCCCGCCTGACAGCTCAGCAACCCGTTTGTTGTATAAGTTCCCATCTCTCGTCTCTCTCATATCATCATTATCATCATCAGCAACAACAACAGCATTCGTACCATCTTCTCTGCCTCCTTTTCCGCCTCAAGCTCACTATCTTCTTCTCTACCTTCTTTGCTCTAGTTGGACTCTACTGGATCTTTCTCTCCTACCTTCTCATCTTCACCCTATCTTAAATTCTATACACCTCTCTCTTCAATGGGAGCCGAATTACTGTGTTCTTTATGGACATAAGTTATTATTTTCTCTCTAAACTGGCCTTATTTTTATTCTCTTTTTATCTCTCTCTCTCTCTTTCCGTTTGTCCATGCTCGCATCTTTTTCACCTGCTTCATGTACTGACATCCTTCGGCAATTCTCCGACGGCGCCCATCTCCACTACCTCCTCTCTTTCTCCCCCCTGAGGTGAGATAGGAAGAAGGGAGCCGCCCATCCCTCAAACCACAATCTGTGGCGATAGAGAGTGGAGGACACAGCTGCGAGCAGATTTGTTGAAGAAGGTGGAGAGGAGAGGAACAATAGAGATATTTAAAGACATTCAGCATCAGCAGCAAGAAGGGTCCCAGTACGGGGGAACGACTTCGGAAATGGTTCCATTCTCGCCCTCCGCCGTCGACTCCGGGGGGCACCTGCTAGGGCCTCCCGGTCCCGACCCAGTTCTGCAGCCGCCGTTGGCCGCATCAGCGTCGCCCAGCTGCAGCCGGTCCCTGCCGCGTCGGATCGTGGATTTCGAGGAACTAGCACCCGCCGTGGTCGGGAATTTCCCGGACGAGGACGCCGACAAGAGTGGTGGCACGACGGGGAACCGGTGGCTGCGGCAGGAGACGCTCGCACTGCTCAAGATCCGCTCCGAGATGGACGCCTCCTTCCGGGACGCCACATTCAAGGGCCCTCTCTGGGAGGAGGTCTCCAGGTAATCAGATCCTTCCCAATTGCCACTGCTCCCGTTTGCCAACACCACCAAAATGTAGATGGAGTGACGGATCTCTGTTGCTACAATCGAGATATCATTCGAGAGAAGCACTCCTTAACGGTTTCCTTGGGAATTGACTTCCCCAGCAGCATCATCATCATCTCAGAAGATGAGCTGAAAAAAAGAATCTCGAGAGGCAGCCAAGTTACGATCTGACGTTGAGTTCGTACCACGGAGTCTACCGCTACAAACGTCGCAGCAGCAGCTGAGCCCTTATTTCTGGGGAAGACACAAGTCTCTCTTCTCTTCTTCAAACTCTTCCTCCTCTGTATCTCTCTCCCTCTCTTTCTAACCCTCCTTAACGAGGCGGCATCTTCTCTTTTTTGAATTACATCACTCTGAGTTCGATGTCAGCTGATTCAGATCCGCTGCATCAATCCCAACAAATCCTTGTTTTTTAATCCGGACGCAAAAGCTTGGAGTCCCTCACTCCTTTCCTTGATGCCTGCTTACTACTAATTATAATTATTATTGTGTTTTTGGCTTCAGCATCTTGTTCCTCAGCTGTAGTCTTGCCGTTACATTGAGGTGATAACGGATACAAAATCAGATGAGTAGATGCGAGTTTGTTGTGAGAGAAGGCATAGCGCAATCATAACCATCTCATTTTTCTTGCTCTCACTTGCCTTTTGTCTTTGTCGTTGTTTCCTTCGTCGGTCCTTTCTCTTTTATCCTTATAGTTGTTGTTACGTTGTTGACAGGAAACTGGCGGAGTTGGGCTACAAGCGGAGCGCCAAGAAGTGCAAGGAAAAGTTCGAGAACGTGCACAAGTACTACAAGCGCACCAAGGAAGGCCGAGCCGGCCGACATGACGGCAAGAGCTACCGCTTCTTTAGCCAGCTTGATGCCCTCTACAGTGGCAGCATCAGCGGCGGCGGTGGCGCCACCACCTCAGCAGGCTTCAGCTCCTCTGCTCCCTCCGTCGTCGCAATTTCACCTCCCTTCGGCGCTGGCATGGTCGGCTCACCAGTCAGCAGAGCCCAGCCTATCTCAGCGGTGGCCCCACCGACGATGGCGATGCCAACCAGGGCGGTCGTCCCCGATCTAACTCTTCCCGGTGGCCCGCAGGGAGTCTCGAGCTCCGGCGCCGCTGCCGCCACTGGGTTAACCTTCTCGTCGAGTTCTTTCTCTTCCTCATCGTCATCAGAGTCTGATGACGAGGAAACCGGAGCGGCTGGTGAGAGTCCGGAAGGGAGGAAGCAGAAGAACGGCAGGGGATCGGGAACAAGCCGGAAGATGATGGCCTTCTTCGATAGGCTGATGAAACAGGTGATGGAACGGCAGGATGCTATGCAGCAGCGGTTTCTAGAGGCCATCGAGAAGAGAGAGCAGGACAGGACGATCCGAGAAGAGGCATGGCGGCGGCAGGAGATGGGGCGGCTCAACCGGGAGCAGGAGCTTTTAGTTCAGGAGCGCGCCTTGGCCGCCTCCCGAGACAACGCCACAATCTCCTACCTTCAAAAAATAAACAGCCACACCATCTCCACACCTACCATGCCTTCCAACGCACCGCTTCCGCCACAGCAGCCGTTTTATTCTCCGCCGGCGCCACCAGCAGCAACTCAGCAACAATCACAACCCCCGACAGCTCCGCAGCAGCAGCAGCAGAGATCACCCACACTGCCACGGCCGCCCCAGCAGCAGCATGAGGTTCGGCAACACCACCAAACCAGCGAGGTCGTTTGGCACCAGTCTTCCTCAGCGTCGGAGATTGTTCCCAGTCTGGAGCCTCAAGAGGCTGTTGGTGGTGGGAGACTCGAGCCCGTGTCATCCTCCCGGTGGCCAAGGGCGGAGGTACATGCATTGATTAACCTCCGCACTGGGCTCGAGTCAAAGTACCAGGAGGCCGGGACGAAGGGAACAACACTATGGGAGGAAATCTCAGCCGGAATGCAGCGGCTCGGCTATATCCGGAGTGCTAAAAGGTGCAAGGAAAAGTGGGAGAACATCAACAAGTACTTCAAGAAGGTGAAGGAGAGCAACAAGAAGCGGCCGGAGGATGCCAAGACCTGCCCTTACTTCCACCAATTGGATGCCCTTTACCGCAAAAAGCTCCTTGGCAGCGGCATCGCCGGCGTTGGAAACAGCAGTGGTACCGGCAATACTGTGGGAATTCAACGACAACAAGGCCGAGAAACCGATCGCGCTTCCAATCAACAGCAGAGTGATGCACCAACAATCTTGCCACGTCAACAGGCACCTCGACCACCATCGCCGCAGCAGCTTACCGCAGAAGCAGAAAGCAAGAATGAGAATGGCACTAGCAACCAAAATAGTGGGAATTCCGAGAGCGATGGGGATTCCGTCGGTATAACGAGCAACGGAGGACTTCCCCCGAGCTTATTTGACGAAGGAATGAAGAAGGTAACCACTGGTCCTTCTAATCTCTCCAACGATTTATGCATATTTGCCACGATATCGTCAAGAAGTGATGGATTGATGTTGGATTGAAGCCAGAAGACATTGTGAAGGAGATGACAGGGCAACGGCGACAACAAGCTGTGATGGATGACTATGAAAAGTTTGGTGACGCTGGACCAAGACGACGACGGGAGGAAGAGAAAATTTAGTACAAGATTATGTTCCTGAGGCAAATATGAGCGCAGTCATTGGAGAGAACGGGTCGGTGACGATTGTAGAGACTACTGATGGGATAAACAGAAGAAGAAATTTTGTACATAAACAAATACAAGAAAGCCGTAACACACAATGAAATTAAATGTAAATTACAATCAAATATGGTATCAAGATTTACATGGAAAACTCCTCCAATGTGAAGGGTAAAAGTCACGGGGCAAACAAGAGATAATCTCCTATAAGAATAATAAATATATAAATCTCAGAGTCTTTTGCCCAAAACCCAACCAACAATCTCAAGAGAATACTAGGATACAAGAATTATGTCACTATGCATAATATCTAAATTCTCCATAAGTAATCACAGTAAAAATCTACTATAGATCTGATCTAACCTGAGATGAAAACACTACTTCGATGATTGAGAATAATCTCTTTCTATTGTCATTATCTTCTTCTCTTTCATTCTCTTGTTTTTCTACCATTTTCTCTTCTTTTTTTAATCAAGTTGCTGCTGTAGTTTTCTGCCTCTATTACTATAGTTTTTTCTCTCTTTTTTGTAGCCACCACACCCCACTTAATAGATCTAGGTTTAGGTTATAAGAGAGGTATGTTGTGGGTTGTTAAAGCCCATTATAGGCTGAACTCATGCGTTGTTAGCCCAATAACCTCCCCCTTTAGCCAATAGGTTGTCTCATGACTCCTCAATGTGAAATCATGCCAATTAACTATCGGCACATCTCCTGCATTTCTTTTAGTAAGATCTTTGTCAACATGTCTGCTCCATTATCATCTATATAAATTTTCTGAAGTTGGAAGTACTTCTTTTTAAGTATATTTCGAATCTAGTGGTATTTGACATCTATATGCTTTGACTTGGAATAAAAATTTTAGTTCTTACACAAATGGATAGCACTCTAGCTGTCACAATTTATCACATAATTTTTATGTTTTAACTCCAATTCTTATAAGAATTCTTTCATCCAATTCTTGTATTGCTCTCTTTGGTGGAGAGAGCAATACACCTTTGCAATCTGGATTGTCATGACATAGCTCCCCTACAAAAGCAAGTATAAAACTTGATGTGGATTTTCTTATGTCTATATCTCTTGTCATATCTAAATCTATATAACCGATTAACATAGGTGATCCACCTCCAAAGCTTAAACAAACCTTAGAGTCTTTGAGATATCTAAAGATCCACTTCACTATTGCCTGGTGCTCTTTGCTTGGATTTGCAAGAAATCTGTTAGTAACACCCACGGCATATGCGATGTCCGACCTTGTACATACCATCACGTACATTAAACTTCTAACTGCTGAAGCATAAAGAACCTTTTGCATTTTCTCTTTCTCCTCCTCACTTGATGGACTCTATTCTGAGCATAACTTAAAGTGACTTGCAAGAGAAGAACCAACTAGCTTTACATTGTTCATACAGAACATTTCTAATACCTTCTCAATGTATTTCTCTTGTGACAATCAAATTTTCTTATTTTTTCTATCACGAAACATATGCATGCCTAGTATTTATTTTGTTGGTCCCATATCTTTCATTACAAAAGACTCACTTAATTCCTTCTTCAACCTATCAATTGTCAACATATATTTCCCAAGGATAAGCATGTCATCAACATATAGAAAGAGAATAATAAAATTCTCACCAAATTATTTGATGTACACACAACGATCTAAAGCCATTCTTTTATATCCATTTTTAGTTATAAATAAATTAAACTTTTTGTACCACTGTCTTGGAACTTGCTTCAACCCATATAAGCTTTTTCTCATTATGCAGATAAAGTTTTCTTTACCTTTGACTTTAAGCCTTCTGGTTGCTTCATATTAATTTCCTCCTCTAAATCACCATAAAGAAAAGATGTCTTCACATCTAACTACTCAACCTCCTAGTCCTGACTAGTAGCAATACCAAGAGCAACATGAATAGAAGATATTTTAACAATAAGAGGAAAAATCTCTTCAAAGTCAATATCTTTCTTTTGACCAAAGCCTTTCATAACCAATCTAGCATTGTACTTTAGTTGAGAATAATATTCTTAAGTCTTTAACATGAAAACCCACTTGTTCTTCAAAGCCTTCATTTCCTTTGGTAGTTGCATCAAATCATATATGTGGTTCTTCTACAGAGCATCCATCTCTTCTTACATAGCAACTAACCACTTATTTTTTTGTCACTTTCAACTACTTCCTGATAATTCTCTAGTTCACATGCATTAATAAGAATCACATACTCATATGTAGAGTATCTTCTGGAAGGTTGACGTTATCTAGAAGATCTTCACAATTGAGATTCTACGAGAAGTTATTCCCCAAATTCTTCTTGTTTAATATGTCCTACAAGTAGATGAACATCGGGCTCTATACCATCTTCCTACACATCTCCCCCATCACCCTGATATATTGGAGGAGTAACTGGGTCATAATCTGCTAATCCTTCCATAGAAGTCTTGGCTGGTGCCTTCTTTTTTAAATCCTCAAAGGTTTGATCCTTAAAGAAGACCACATCTTTGCTTCTAAATGCATTATGCTTTTCTAGATCCCAGAGCTTGTAACTAAACTGATCATGTGAATAACCAAGAAAATTACATTCTTTTGTCTTACCATCTAGCTTAGACCTCTCATTGTTTGGAACATATGCAAATGCATGATAACCAAACACTCTCAAATACTTATAGGAAATATCTTTCCTTGACCATATATGCTCTACAATATCACAATCTAGGGCTATATATGGTAACAAGTTGATCACATCAACTACAGTCCTCAAAGCCTCATCCCAAAACTTTTTGGGTAGCTTGGCCTATGAAAGCATACATCTGATCTTTTCTATTATGGTGCGGTTCATATTCTCTACAATAGCATTATGTTAATATGTACTAGGAACTGTCATCTCATGTTGGATGCCATGTGACCTACAATAATCATTAAACAATCCTGTATACTCACCACCATTATTTGATCTTATAAATTTCAATTATCTTTTTGTCCCCTTTCAACTCTAGCATGAAACTCTTTGAAGATATTAATAACATGATCTTTGGTCTTCATAGCATAGGCCCAAACTTTCTTTAAAAAATCATCTATAAATTTGACAAAATAAAGTGTACCACTAATGCTAGTAACATTAATAGATCCACTAAGAGTTTTTGTCCTCAAAGGATCACATACATCTGTATAAACATGGTCTAAGACATGCATTTTTCTAGACAAAGCAGGGATAGCAAATGAAGCTCTGTGTTGTTTACCAGCCAAACAATCAATACAAGGGTTCAAACATGTACCTTTGAGGTCTGGCAATACCTCTCTCTTGGAAAGAGCTTGCAGCCCCTTCTTGCTTATGTGTCCTAATCGTCTATGCCACAACTCCATACTAAAGTTTTTTTTTGTAGCATTTAACTACTTACCACAACCTTTGACCTGCAACTTGTATAAAGTGTGATATTTCTTCCCACTAGCCACAATAAGAAAACCTTTATTGAGCTTTCATTGTCTTTTGTGAAATATGCTATCATAGTCTTCATCATATAGTCTTCTAACTGAAATTAAATTCAACCTCAAGTCAACCACATACCTCACATCCTTAAGCACCAACTTGTAGCTAAGGTTGGTCTTTATGTGGATATCACCCATGCCAATGATGTCTACTATGCCATAGTTGCCCATCTTGACAACACTAAAATTTTTAAACCTGTATGTAGCAAAAAATCCCTCCATGGTGTAGCATGATAAGAAGCACCTGTGTCAATCACTCACTCAAAATCCTAACACACACGAGAAAAAATAACATCAGAATGAGACAAAATCAAATAATCACCACCATGCATTGTAGTTGTAGTATTTGTTTGAAAATCTAGGGGCGACATCACATGCACAACGGAAGAACATAAAACAAAAAACTCTAAATTTCCTAATACATGTTTGTCGTCGTGCGTAGATTGGTGCACAAAATCCGTAAAATCGAAAACTGCATGTTAGAAAGATAGTTGTGTTACCTATGGAGAGTGTATATCCCTGAATCCTTATAGATCTGTAAGAGTGGATGAAGAAGGTCAAGTATCCTCCTCTTTAGTGGTGATCCACACAGTAGGGCTGTAACAATGCTCCTCAAATCTCTAAGCCTACTCTTTGAGGAGGAGAAGGGGAGAGAAGAATAGGAGATGACAACTAAGAAGCTTTGGCCTATGGGCCTTTAGTTCCCTCCTATTTATAGAGGCCCCTATTAACCCTAATGGATCCTACCCTATTGGGTATTGGATCTACATCCAATTACCCAAGCCTCTTAGATTAGTGGGTCTCTACCCAATAATCTCTTATTAGCTTTTATTGGATCAAATCCGTGGGATCCAATAATTCAAGGACTTATTAGATATCCAATAAGACAAGGGCTCCAACGGATATCTTATATCCGAACCTCTACTCATCGCAACACCTACCATATGTGTATGATCCTCTAGGCCTAATATCAAGCTAGTTATGAGTCATACCTATCGGAACTCATTCTGGCTTAGTGAACTATTATCTCCATAATAATTCACTCAACTCATCGATTATGAACGTACTAGGCCACTATGTCGTAGTCCCCAGATGATACAAGGGAATCCAATCCTTTAGACATATCTATCCTCAGTTACCGTGTATCTATAGTTCCTCATCTATCTAAAATCCCAAAGACCATATACCGGGCATAGTGCTATTAGGCCCATACGGTTTCTCCTTGAGTCTCGCTCTAATCGGATTCTCTCGGAGAACTCTTTCTCTCTTAATCCGAATGACCTTGGCCAAGGATTTGTTTGAGCAAAAACACATGAGATATTACTCTCATGATACCGAGAGCGGATGATCCTCTATCAATACTAAATAGCCTTCATAAGGTTGGCTACCACTCCCAATAACCGACTGTACTAGATTTGAAACTTTCAAACCTATAAGTCTAGTATCAAAGAATAGGGTACTCATACAGAATATCCTTAGT